CTAGAACTTTTAACAGAACTTAGGGGCAAGGGTTGAGCTGATCCCACCTCTCTTTAGCAATTTATAGACATATGAGTATATAATACACATATCTATGTACATATATATACATATGTATATCAAACAGAAACATGTCACCAGAAGACCATTAGATACAGCAAGAGTATAGGACTGTGTCAGATGTGTAGGATAGCAAACACCTTTCATGGTTCTGTGACTGAGCTAAGCAAAATGGCCTTAAATGGCCTTTTTATAATGTGGGCTTTGTTGTTCACTTATTTCCAGCGTCAAATGCTTTAACATTCCACTGAGGGTCTTCATTTGTTTAAAAAGTTAGGATGAAGGGCCCCTGTGACACCTGAGTTAATTCCCTTCCACACCAACCCTTTCCTTTGCCCCCTATGACAGAGTTCAAGAGATGGCTCATGCTGCTGAGCTGGAGAAGCAACATTTCACAATAAAACATTTCGCATTAGAGGCCTTGTGAGTTCCACACACACAGCCTTTTTTTTTTTTTTTTCTTTTTCTTTTTTTTTTTTCTTTTTGCAAGAGGGACACTCTAGGTTTTGCTCTTTCATCCCCATAGAGCCCTCCCTCTAGGTCTCTGAAAGAGCAGGCAGGCTGGTTTCATTTGCTCCTCACCTTCCCCTGATCAACAGCACAGCCAAACTGACATGGAAAGAAAAGTTAGGTGGCAACAAACCTGGTCAAGAAGCTAAGCCCCTCTTCAGCACTCCCTAGGCCATATTTAATGTTTTTTTTTTTTTTTCCTTGAGGGAATTTTATTCCTGGGAATGCAGATGGCTAATGAAAAGAGGCATTTGGCAGGTAGTCCACACCTTTTCCTGGGCCCCACTGCGGGGGAGGGATATCTGGGATTCTTTGGGACTCTGTAACTAGTGGCAATGAATTCAAGGACACCCTCCCATTGAGTCACAAGGTTCAGATTGGACCTCTTTTCTTTCCAGGCTTCTTTTGAGAGGAGACAGGTGCAGGTGCATTCAGTCCTAGTCCCAGACCTGGTCAACGGTTTATGACTATGGGATTTTGTGCAGTTACAAAGCAAAGTTTACAAGTCAGAAAGAGTCAGTATAGTCACTTACCACAAATCTGCTGTGGCAAGGATCTCTCAACCCCGAGGAGTGTCCTTGAGAGGTGCCCCTGCTCAAGGGGAGCTCCTGGTGTGCAGCCCACTGCCWTGCAAGGAGAGCTCAATGGGCCCTCGGGCTGTCCACGTATTTATGGGWTAAGATGATTCRTTTATAGTCATTCTTTCATKTCAGACAACTTTTGGCTGCTTGAGATAATTAGCCTTATCTCCCCATCAGGATGCGGCCATCAGGACTGTTATTGCTGGTTAATGTCTGAGGGGGAGAAGAAGTCAGGGAGAGACCCACCAGGATCAGATAATATCACTGGTGGTTAACACCTGAATAGGGCTACGTGTGACAAGTCAGGATGAGCTGGGGAAGGAGCACATCCATCACAGGATGTCGCATGAGTGCTAGAATTCGTTAGTAAAAATCACTACATGTATTCTACTGGACCGTCTCACAGGATGAGGTACCATTATTTGAGATGTATTTTATATCTCTAGATAAGAGTCCTGTGCCCAATAATTAGATTCTTTAGATTAGCTAAAGAAAGATAGAGGAAGGATGAATTGTTCTTTCCTATAGAGGAAAAAGGTGACTTACTAAGGTCAAACGAAGGAAATGTGAGTAAAATAAAACACCTACASATTACTTGGATTCAACATACCATCTTCCCCTTCCATTTTGACAAGCCTTGCAAGCTTGCATGTGAAGTGAAAATATGTGGCTGGAAACAAAGATTTTCTTGTCAACAGCTATGGCCCTCCTGCCTTTCTTCATAGAAAAATAAATTTATCTTTGCTTGTCCTACTTTTACTGTGAAATAAAGCCTACATTGCTGTGTCTCTGATAGGCATCATCACCATATGCTGGACATGATTTTGCAGGAGAACAGGGTGAAGAATCTTCAGCATTCTGCCAGACAAAGCTGATTTCAGGAAAACCAAAGCCACACTTTTCAGAATGGGGACTCTCAAGACAGACTTCTAAAAGTACATTTTGCACTTCAGGGAACACCTCCACCTCCAGATTTCTGTAAGAGCAGCTACACTCAGTAGGGCTTGTTTTTATGTGCTGCAGAACTTGGCTGTAGTTCAGAGGTGTTGCAGAGTCATTGCTGGCACTYGATACGTGCGGAGGTAGTCCTTGGCAGGAGCAGCCCCTTTCACCACGCTGACCCTTTCATCTGCATAGCTTCAGTGTCACCCTTCTCCACTTGAGCTTCACCATAAGCAAGACCTGGAGTTCATATCCTTCAGCATCTCTCTACCTTACTAGTCCTTGGCCATCCCTCAGCCAATAAATCCCCTCCGTGTACAGAAGAGGACAGGACAAGATACTTTCCAAACTTAAGAACCCACAGTATGGAAAAAAAGCTGTTTTGTTTTGTTTTGTTTCTCACTTCATCTCAGTTTCATCTCAGCCCTGAGCTGCTTCAAATTTCTTTCAATTCCTGGTCTTATTCTCCCTTTTACGACTGTCACCTTGAAGACCTTCTACCCCAGAGCTCCCAGCTCATCAGCCTGGAGAGCTGCTGTCTACAGTCAGGTGCTGAGCAGTAATTGGCTTTACATTACCCCACAGTGCTGGGCTACAGTTATGGAGAGTCTTCACAGAAGTATTTAAATGAACCTATTTGCAATTCAGAAGTACAGGCATATACTTCTTTGCCTGCTCAAAGCCTTCATGGAAGCAGGCCAGCTATAACAGGAGTCATTCGTGCTCACTCTCCTGATATCTCTGAAATGAAAGCTGGAGAATTGCTAGTGCAGGGGAATTGCTGCTGTGCTCTGGGCTCTCTGTGAGGAGAGGAGATGATACTGTCTTATGCAGAACTCTGACTCCCACCATCACTCCAACAGCTTCAGATCTCTTTGYTGGGTTTTAGGTTTGCTTCCTTATGACAATGGCTTTTCACAAGCATCTAATCTCTAAGAATGACCAATCCCAGCAATTTTGTTTTGAAAAGCAAARTATATATTCAGTGGTGCAGCTGGAGCAGTGGCATAGAGAATATAATGTATGCACTCAGTGGAACATACAGATAAATGCAATTGGGAACAATTCCCTTTTATCTGTCTCTTTGATAGGGCAAGCATAGGTATGTGTAGATGTGTTAACTTAGAAAACATTAATAGTGGAATATGAAGATTATGATATATTTGCTTTCCAGTTATTCACTGCATACTAGTCTGCCATTCTGGTAAATGGTAGGAAATTGTCTTGTTTCACAGGCGTGCATCTAACAAGCTGAAAGTCTGCCCTGCTTTCATTAAGCTGTGCATACGCACTCCTTGCCAACCGTTGCTTGCTTCACCAGGCTTATGGCAGTCCTAAAAGAAACCTAATAAGACTAATGAAAATATCCAAAACAAAAAATAAGATCTATTCTTACTATATGCCATCATGTATACTTCAGTCATACATTATCGTAACTTCAATTATGGTGAAGGTAAAATATGAATTCATTTTTCATTCCAGGCCRTTAAGGTTGGAGTTATCCAGCAAAACACAGGTGTCCACCCTGTGTGGGTGTCTACACTTTAACTGGGCTCTGTAGGCTCCCACTATARTATATATATATTTATATATTTTCTGCACTGGGTTCAAATCATTCTGAAACAGGGCAGGAAGACACTGAAAGGAAGTCATCAAGGAGTTTGCAAACATTCATTTGATTACATTCTTTTATTTGGTGTTTACACTGGTTTTAAAAGATAACYGTGAAGCATCTCTTGATTATTTTGCATAATTCACATCGCTGGCTGTTTACCAGCAAAATACGAAAGGCTGTTTGAATTCCGTGCTATTTCTAACACTTCAGATAGGCTGCTTTTGTTTTCTTACTCAGAAAGAGATATTCTAGTCCAAAGACACTGAATGCTGGAACTGCCAAGTCTCAAAGTAAGACAAAAAGCCACTATTTTTTGCATTAACTTCACTGAGCAGTAGTTCTACATGAACAGAAAGACAGGAATTTGTCGACTCAAGCTGCAGAGATGCAATCAGCTGGCAGGCATATTTCATACCGGACTCATAAYATTGTTAAAACAATATCTATGGATGATATCAAACAGTGTAACCGTCTTGTACTTCATACATCACACACAGGGCAAGGCGTGAGCATTAGGGGCTGTTCAGGCACACAAACGCAGGTAAACGATGATCAGAGGATGATGAAGGAGCTGGTGCGGGGCTGGGGTCGCGCAGGA